TGACCAGAATAATAACTTATATTTATGTAACCACCAGGTCAAAGCTCTTCATCTATTTAATCTCATTTGAGTTTCGTAACAATGCTATGAAACAGGCAGTCCAGATATAAGAAGAGCATGCAACCACACACGTAGTAAAGACCAGAGCTAGGAGTCCAACCATGCATGCTGCAAAGAACTGAGTGCTGAATCTGGAATTCCAAGCCATGAGTTCAAATCCAAGAGCCACTCCCATGACAGGGAGTAAGTTATTTAACCTGTCTGTGCCTCAGGTTCCAAGGAAACAATCTATTATTGTTCGGTCATTATTCAGTCATTGTTCAGTCATGTCCAACCCTTTATGACCCCATTTGGGGCTTTCTTGGCAAAGACACTAGTGGTTTGCCATTTCCTTCTCCATCTCATTTTACAGATGAGGAAACTGAGGCAAGCAGGGTTAAATGACTTGCCTAGGGTCACATAGCTAGGAAGTGTCTGAGGCCAGACTTTCTGAGGTCTTCCTGACTCCAGACCCAGCACTCTAACCACTGCACCATCTAGCTACTCAAGGACTTTGGTGGCATTTATACAATGCTTTAAATATATGATTTTGTTTATTTTATTATTAATATGACAATAATAATAGCTGGCATTTACGTAGTGCTTTAAGGTTTGCAAACCACTTTACAAATATTATGTAATTTTATCCTTACAACAGCCCTGAGGGGTAGATGCTATTATTATCCCCGCTGTACAGGTGATAAAACTGAGGCAGAGGGTAAGTAGCTTGCCTAGCATCACAAAGCTAGTAAGTGTCTGGGTAGGATTTGAATTCAGGCTTAGGTCTTCCTAAGTCCAGATCCAGCACTCTATCCATTGCACCAACTAGTTGCATAGTATGGTTAATTAATTTTATAGTTTTTTCTAATATTAAATCAACCCTGTATTCCTAGTATATAATCTTTGTGACATGTTGTTAAAGCCTCTTAGCTAATTTTTTTTTAAATTTTTGCATCTGTGTTCATTAGAGATATTAATTTAAAGTTTTCTTTTTCTGTCTTGATTCTTCCTGGTTTATGCATCCAAACCATATCTTTGTCATAAAAGGAATTAGGTTAAGATCCCTTCTTTTGCTATTTTTTCAAATAATTTATGTAATATTGGGACTAATTATTCTTTGAATCCTTGGTAGAATTCTTTTAATCTATCTGGTCCTGGAGGGTTTTTTCCTGGCGTTGGAAGTTCATCTGTGGCTTGTTCAAGGTCTTTCTCTGAAATTGGGTTGCTTAAATTCTCTAGTATTTGTTCTGTTAATTTAGGTATTTTATTTTCCAAAATTGCTTCAAGCCTAGAACGGATCCACCCATGGCAGAAGTTGCAAACTTTACTTGTCCAATACAAATAGAAGAATGAGATGAGGCCTCTATAAGAGGCGGCACTTGAGCTGAACTTGGAAGGAGATTAGGGGCTTGAAGACATGATGGAGATGGAGAGCATTCTGGGTATGAGAGACATCCAATGCAAAAGCACAGAGAATGTTGGTCAAGGGAGCCATAAACAAGTCAGTTTGGCTGGAATGTTGAGTGCGTGACAGGAAGCATCAAAAGAGTAAGTCAGAAAAGGTAAGTGGGAGCCAGATTCTCTATTTAATCAGGTACCCACAGAAACCCTAGAGGGTTAGTCTGTTTGAACCAAGCCAATGAAAATAATAGGAGGAGATGGGTAGGGCTTGAGGACAGAGTTAACAGCTCAGAGATTGAGCCTACTCCAGGGAAGGATTATTCACAAATGCACATATGTATGTACATGTGTATGCATGCGTAAGTGCATTTGCACACATGTATATGCATTGCATATGTGTGTATAAATGAATTGTGTATATATATATATATAGATGTGTGTATATAAATGTGTATACACAAATAATTTTGTAACTTCCTGTAGTTCAATTTAGGAATACAGAAGTCAACAATGGGAATAATCCAACCCTGGGGTTTTACAAGGTATGATTACAAGGTATGATCAGTGATAGGACAAGGGAACCATACATACATGTACTTACATACTTACATACAGTAAATATACCACACACATGTGGTATATTAATGAAAAATCTTCAACAGGTCCCAGCAATGCTAAAGTGAACAAAGTTAGAGATCTTCTCAAAGTCCCCAAAATGTAGCTCCTGGATTCCCCCAAACCCTCAGAATAATTCACTATTTGATGAATATATTTTATTTACACTTTCTCAATACTCTGCTTATGCTGAGATCCTTTGCTCCCCTTCCTGAAGCGCCCCTTGCCTCTCATCCCCCATCTTTCAAAGTCTGACCCATTCTTCAAGATCCAGTTCAAATGCAAACTTCTCCATGAAGCCTTTCTTGATTATTTCTAAACTTCTATCGCACTTACTGTACAGGCTGTCTAGTACCATAGTTGGGTGGTTCATCTCCCACACTCAACTGTAATCTCTTCAAGGAAAGTTCTATCTCTGCAGCCTCAATGTCTAGAACGCTGGCTTGTGCATAACAATAAATAGTGAACAAATAGCTATTGAATGAAGGAACGCATGAATAATTGTCTCCTATATCTGAAGAGCCTCGAGGCACACTGAGAGAGGATGAGAGGGAATAAGCATTTGTCCAGCACCTACTATGTGTTAGACACTGTGCTAAGCACTTTGCAAATATTACCTCTTTGCAATCTCACATCCCTGGGAGGTAAGTACTGTCATTATCTCCATTTACAATTGAGGAAACTGAGATAGAGGTGAAATGACTTGCCCAGGGTCACACAGCTAGTGTCTGAGGTTGGTTTGAACTCTGCTTTTCCTGACTCCAGACCCAGCACTCTATCCACTGTGCCACCTGGCTGCCTGTAGAGAGCCAACTAGGAAGGCAGCTAGCGCAGTACACGAAGTTGGAACCTTCTCTATTAGATGATAAGCCTCTTTAAGGCAGAAGCTATCTTTTATACCTTTCCTCTAGTTACTAACACCTCTCACAGAGCTTTGCACATAGCAGACATTTTCCCCCATCACTGCTGATTAATAATTTACAGCATGTACGAGTACATTCAATTCAACAAACATTTATGAAGCACCGATTCTGTTCAAAGCACTCTGCCAGATATGGGAGAGATAAAAAGCTTAGATAAGACAAAGCCCCTGCCTGCTCAGATCTGACAGCAAACTTGACTTTGATTCCTGGCAAAATTCTAAAGTGCTCAATTTTTAAAATGCTTAATGAACAACCAGAAAATGAAACAATGATCACAATGGGCAAACATAGCTTTAACAAGAAAAGGTCATGCCAAACCTTATTTCCTTTTTTAACAAGGTTAATAAACTTATCTGTCAGAGGAATGCTGTTAAGACTTTCCCTAGCTTTTGGCAAAGCATTTGATAAAGCATCACATTCTTATGGAAAAGATGGAGTGTCGTGGTTAGATGAATAGGATGGTTACATGGGTGCAGAACTAGCTGACTGTTCAGGTTTAAGAAACAGTCATTAATGTTGGAACATCAGCTTGGAAGATGGTCTCCTGCAAGTGCCCAAGATCCAGGATTGGCCCTGTGCTGTTTAGCATTTTAAACAATGATTTAGCAGCTAAAGGAATAGAAGGCATGCCTATAAGATTTACAGATGAGGCAAAGCAGGGAAGGATAGCTAACACGCTAGATGACAGAATGAAGATCCAGAAAGATTTTGACAGGCTAGAACAATAGGTTAGATCTAAAAAGATGAAATGCAATAGAAGTAAGTGTCAAAACAATCAATTTCACAAATACAAGATGGGGGAGCCATGGTTTGATAGTTGGTTATCTGAAAAAAAGATCTGGGTGGGGGTAGTTAGTGTAGTATAAGCTCAATATGAGTTATCAGTGTGATGTGAAAGCTAAAAAAAGCAACACCATCTTGCGCTAAATTAATTGAGTCATAGCTTCTAGGAATAAGGATGCAATAGTTCTTCCACACTCTGGGTCACCTTGCTCATCAATGATAATACTATGACTGTATAGGATACATTTTCTATGTCTTCTTTTTTGCTTTCTCTTGCCCCTTCCCCTCCCATTATTTAAAAACAGGTACCTCACAGAAGAAACTCAGGTTAGACTCTAGGGTAAATTAGTTGGGGCTCTGTCCCCCCTGACTCCAGTATGAACTAAAAACACAGTCCAGCTAAAAAGATGGACAACTCCCTGGTCTCCAATGTAACATAAAAGCCCAGAGTCTCAGAGTTGGAAGAGAAATCAGAGTGTATCCAACCCAAGATATACCTACACAAGAATTCCCTTCACATCCTCCCAGATAAGTGTGAATTCCACTTCGGCTCAAAGATCTGTAGTAAAGAGAAACCTTCTACCTTCCAAAGCAGCCTATTCCACCAAGGACATCTCCAACCAAGTACACTTCCTATTGTATATGGCAAGCTTTTAAATACTTGAATGCAGCCATCACGTCCACTCTGACATGATGTCCTCCAGGCCAAACACCTCTAGTTCCTTCAGCCAATCATGATCTTGAGGCCCTTCTCTATCCTGGTTTTCCTTTTATGTCCACTGGCCACCTTATCAGCGTCCTTCCTAAAATGCAGCACCAGACCTGAGTGCAATATCTCTTCCCTGTGTGATCTGATCAGGGCATAGTACAGCCTTCAGGGTGGGTACCAATGAATACAGTGTGAGATACTGAACCCCCTACATAAAATTAGCATTTGAAAAAACTTCTAGCTTGTACATTGGAAATTCAAGAGGATTATGAATTTAAACACTTCCATCCTTTCAAATCAGCCAGATATAAACTACAACAAAAAACTAAAAGAAATCTGCACATCAGTGGTGCCCACCCTCCTCTACCAAGGCCTCTGACATATTATTACACAGACATCCTTGTACCCATAAAATCAGACACGTGAATGCCATAATACATTACACATAGGTAGTCTGAGCACACAAAGCATACTTAACACACGCAATACAACACAAAACATGCATTCTCACAGACAACAGACCCACTTACCATCACTGTAATCGATGGGTGTGTAGGACCCAAGGAAAAGGGAAGCTGCAAAGCTACTAACCAAAGCGATTCTCTGTAAGAGAAACAACACAATGAAGGGCGGCTCACCACCAGACTCACCTTGAACAAGCGAACATTTTATTGTTTTTTTACACAAACATTTTAACAAACATCATTCAAACGTGAAGGACCTTTGACTCCTTAGCAAAAGGCCAAGCCATGCTGGCCCTTAGTCTTATGGATGAGAACACTTCAAGAGGCACACCAAACAGTAGACAAGGGAGTCCTGGGAGGAAAACCATTAAGGTCTCCGAAGCCTGGAAAGGCACCGATCCCTTCAGTTTCCCGACTTTATCACGCTGCCAAGTTCAATTAAAGCAAATTATTGAGAAAGGGAAGGTGATTTTCCTATCAGTTTCCATCTCTCAATGGCTGTTGGCTCTCCTGTTTCACAACATCGCAACCCTCTTTAAATATGGTAATGAGAGACTTTTGGTGACACAGGATGAACATTCACTAAATTCAGAGCAAACACTTTGCACAAGGCCCAGAAGATGCTCTCTCTTTGCCTTATTCTTTTAAGGATCCCTGGTTTCCTTCAAGACTCAGCTCGGAAGTCACCTTCTTTTCTTTTCCTTTTTTTTTTTCGGCTAGGCAATGGGTTAAATGACTTGCCCAGGGTCACACAGCCAGTAAGTGTCAAGAGTTTGGTCTGAGGTCAAATTTGAACTTTGGTCCTCTTGAATCCAGGGCCAGCGCTCTGTCCACGGCGCCACCTAGCTACCCCTGGAAGCCACCTTCTTTAGGAAGCTTTCCCAGGCTCCCCAGCTGCTGGCACCTTCCCTCTGAGACTACCTTCCATCTACTCAAGATGAGTCCTGCCTACACGGATCAATCTACATGTTGCCTCCTCCATTAGAATGTAAACTTCTTGAGGGCAGGAACTTATATTTGGTTTTTTTTCCTTGTATCCCCAGGGATTAGGACAGACTAGAAAAGAACAAGTACTTAACAAATGCTGATTGAGACAAAATTCACACTATCACTTCTGCGGAATTTCTAAAGAAGTAACAATCTCTCTCTCTCTCTTTCTCTATCTATCTATCTATCTATCTCTGTCTCTGTCTCTGTCTCTCTTTCTCTCTCTGTCTCTCTCCTCTCTCTCTCTCTCTCTCTCTCTTTCTCTCTCTCTCTCTCTCTCTCACACACACACACACACACACACACACACACACATACACACACAACTTCTTTATTTCAAATGCTGGTGTAATGACTTTCTATGCTATATGGTCCTATGAGGATGCTAGATTTGTGACAAGACAGCAGTATTCCTTTCCTTTACTCCCTACAAAGCCCACCTCAGCTCTAGACACAGAATTTAGGTTAGGCACCTTTTCCCAAAGCATAAGTTACCAACTAATTCAGAAGAGCAGTCTGTCATCCTGAATAGTTAAATAATAAACTCTATGTTAATTTTGAAGATTAAAAAGGCACTTTGGTTTGAAATGAGCTAATCATTTTATAATTATGACTTAGAGATCAAAATAACTAGGAGATGTGTTGAGCTGATTCATATGCAACTTTTAAGTGCCTGATTTTAGCTACTGCAGGTCTAGCAGTTTAGCTGTGCTTCTGGCTTTGTCTACACCACAGTGAGGAAGGGTGTGGATAAGGTTTTTGGAGGTTCAAGACGTAGTTTCTTTAAAGCTTTCAATGAAGAGCTAACTGAGATGGCCCTATCCAGTGAGAAGGGAGGGGAGGGGAAGGAAGGGGAGGAAAGGGGAAAGGAAAAGGAAAAGGAAAGGAGAATTTATAAAGTGCCTACTATGTGCCAGGCAAATTGGCTTTAAAAATATTATATTATTTGGTCTTTTCAATAATCCTAGGAAATAGTGCTAATATTATCCCCATTTTGCAGTTGAGGAAACCAAGGCCAACAGAGGTTAATTGATTTGTTCAGAGTGATACAGCTAGTGAGTGTCCGAAGCCAGATTTGAACGCAAGTCCTTCCTGACTCCAGATCTAGCACTGTATTTACCGTGGCACCTAACTGCCTCATGATGGGCATTGATGGGCCATTCATAAGAATAAGTAACATGAATGAAGCCTAAATGGTACATTGGAAAAATGGCTGGATTTGGAGATGACCTGGATGTGAATCTCTGCTCTGCCACTTACTGCCTGTGTGACTTTGAGCAAAGGGTTCTCTGGGCCTCAGTTTCTTCATCCCTAAAATGAAAGAGTTAGACTAGATCAGAAGCTGTTCACTTTTTTGTTCATGGGCCCCTCTGGAGTTCAGCTGAAGCCTTTGGATGACTTTTTAGAATAATTTTTTTTCATTTGAGAAATTATTTTTAATGTATAAAACAAAAGAAATTACAAAAGAAACTACAAAAAAACCAACCCGGTTATATCAAAATTAAGAGGTCATTTTTTTCTCACCCAAGTTCTTAGACCCACTGAAATCAATCCATGGACCTTTTGGAGGGTCCATGGAGCCCAGATTAAGAACCCCTCCAGGGTCTCTTCAAGCTCATTATCATAATATAAAAAGAACAGGACCCCAGATCTCCAGATGTGGTATTGTCACAACTGCCCTACTCTGGGTAACAAAGCCAACACCTATGATGGGTGGAGAAGAGTATGCTGGATGTAGAAAAGTTCAAGTATGGGTCTTCCATGACCTTGATGGTGACATCATGTATATATGTCACAGAATTGTTTGGATCAAGTGAGGTCATGTCTACAAAACGGCTCTGTAATCATAATCATTGGACATAACTGCAAAATGTTGTTGAATTTTACAACTTCTCTAGTCTCCTTCGCCATACAACATAGAAAGTCAATTCTTTGAGGACAGGGGGCTGTTTCCTTTTCTGTCTGTGTATCCGCAGATCCCAGCCCGGCACTAAATAGTAACTGCTTTAACAATGCTTGTGGAAATGAAGACAAGTTATACAGAGGATGTGCTATTAGCCACTAAATAGCATTTTCATTTCTGCAAGCGACTATTTTTAGCGCCTATGTTTGGCATGCGTTTTTTTCTAAAGATACACACGACAGAAGGGTTTTCATTAGTGCCTTTCAATAAAAGACATGGACGTTGAACCAACCTCGGTTTGTGAGTAGGCATCGGGATTCTCCTTGAAAATCTTTGCTATCTGGTTTCCTGTAAAACGCTGAGAAAGAAATGCAAGTGTTTAGAAGAGAAGAGTCAATAATCATTAACTCTATGTAATGAGTTCAGTCCAATGCACTCTTGATGCTTAATTTGTTTGATGTGCAATGGAAACTGGCCCCCAGCAGATAACTGACACTAAGCAGACAGTCATGCTCGCTCCTGTGATAAGGCTTGTACTCACCGTTTGGAAGAAGGAAGGCTGAGATTGAGCATCACTCTCCGCGATGCACATCTCAGAAATGACAGTTCTATGGAATGAATCACACTTACTGCCTGCCCCAAATCCAAGACAGGTCAGTGGTTGTCTTGGATTCCTGAAAAGAGGCTTACCAACCAACATATGTGAGTCAGTAGAATGGTGAAGGGATATCATTAATTCAAGGATAACCACAGCACCTTTTTAAAAATTATTTTTCTCCAGTTACAGGTAAAGACAATTTTTAACATTTTTTGTAAATTTTAAGTTTCAAATTTTTTCTTTCTTTCCCTCACCACCCTCCTCCCTGAGACAGTAAGCAATTTGATATAGGTTATACATATTCAATCATGCAAAACATATTACCATATTAGTCGTGTAATGAAAGAAGATACAGACCCAGAGGGGGAAAAAAAAACATGTAAAAAATGCAGAAAGCACAGCACCTTTTTAAGACACAGATTCTCAGTCCTATAGGTATTGAAACATAAGTTACTTAACCTGTTTTAAAGAATTGCCAATTCCTTCGAGGAAGAATAAATAAGACTTCCTCAGATGCTTAAAGAGGGTTTGTGATAACCTAGCTGAACCAGAGCATGCATTCTGCTTAACAAGGAGACATTGCCAAACTTACGGACACAAAAAAATGTGCAGCCCCTCTACCCACAAAAATAGATTAACTTGTGTCAGCTAGGTGGTATAATAAACAGAGGGCTAGACCTAGAGTCAGGAAGACCTGAGTTCAAATCCAGTCTCAGACACTTACTAGCTAGCTGTATCACCCTGGGCAAGTCACTTAACCTCTGTCAGCCTGTTTCCTTGTCTGTAAAATAGGGATAGTAATAGCACCTCCCTCAAAGAGTTTTCATAAGGTTCAAATGGGAACATGTGTATAGCTTTTTGCAAACCTTAAAGAACTACATAAATGCTAACTATTATGAAAGAACAGAAAGCTGGCTAACCTCGAAATATAAAGAGAAGCGTGTTCTTATCTCCTCAGGCTTTACAAATTAAAGGCCTAGTGTTAAACTGACAGAAACAAAGAAGGAGCAGAGCATCCCCCAAAAAGACGTCATGTGGTCCAGTGAAAAGAACACTGGAGTGGGAGGACCTGAATTCACATCCCACCTCTGATGCTTTCCACCTGACCAATCCTGAGTATTCCATACACATATGTACATACATGCACACATGTATATGAATAATATATGTATGTATGTATGTGTACATTTCCCCCAGTTACATGTTAAAACAACTTTTTTTTTAAGTTTTGAGTTCCAAATTCTATTCCTCTTCACCTCTTCTCCCTGAGATGGTAAACAATCCAGCATAGATTACTCAATGAAGTCATGAGCATTCCATTAAACTTCCTCAACCTCAGTTTTCTCAACTTGGCTTAGACTAGATGGCCTTTAAAATCTCTACATGTCTGAGTCTATGAACCATAGCTTCCTATCAGCAAGTCGAGATGCTCTGGTTAAGCTGCAGAGTCATCTCCAGGTGACCACCTCCTTACTAGCACAGTTCTGAGTAAACAGTTTAGAGTCTGCAAAGGAATTGGACACCTTAATTGAATTTGGGGGTTCTATTTAGAAAACAGCATTTGCCTTCAGAGTTTCCTAAACATCCCTCAATGGGGCTAGGCAGGAGCACTTATATCCTGCATATCCTGGCAGGGATCTTGGCTGAAGCTGTTTACTTCTAGGGTATCCTAAATATCATCAGAGGTCTAGGTAAGGGAGCATTTATATTGGGGTCATTAGCTAGTGACTAAAACTTATTGATTAACAGGAATGGTAAATACAAACAAAACAGCTATCTATACAGGGATTCAATGGTCACATAAATGGAATCAAATGGGGCCATCTCCAGTCGCCCTGGTCTACATCTTGCCACTGGACCCAGATGGCTCTGGAGGAGAAAGTGAGGCTGGTGACTTTGCACAGCCCTCCCTCACTTAAATCCCATTCATTTGCAAGTCATGGCATCACCTTCCTGATGTCATAGTCCTCTCTGAAAACAAAGGACAAACAGCAAATGCAATCAATCAATAAGTATTTATTAAGTGCCTTCTAGTGCCAGGTACTGTGCTATACACTGAGGTTACAAAAAAGGGCAAAAGACAGTCCTTGCCCTCAAGGAGCTCACAATTCAAAATGGAAGACAACATACCAACAAACACATACAAGGCAAGCTCTATACAGGATAAATAGGAAGAATTAAAAGAAGGAAGGCACTAGAATTAAGAGGGGTTGGAGAAGGCTTCCTGTAGAAGGTGAGATTTTAGTTGGTACTTAAAGGAAGCCAGGGAGGTAAGTAGTTAGAGCAGAAGAGGGAGAGCATTCCAAATATGGGGGACAGCCACAGGAACTGCCCAGAGATGATAGATGGGAGTGTCTTATTCATGGAGCAGCCAGGAGGACAGCGTCACTGGATTGAAGAGTATGTGTTGGGGAGTAAGGTCTAAGAAGACTGGAAAGGTAGGAGGCAGCTAGGATTTGAATGCCAAATAGAGCATTTCGTATTGTCTTCTGCAAGCAATAGGGAGCCACTGGGTATTCAGTAGGAGGGTGATATTACACTTCAGTAGATGAATGGAGGATGCTTTCAAATTGGGAGAGACTTGAGGCAGGCAGACCCATCAGCGGGCTATTACAATAGTCCAGGTGTAAGGTGATAAGGGCTTGTACCACAGTAGGAGCAGTGTCAGAGGAGAGAAGGGATATATTTAAGAGATGCTGCAAAGGTAAAATTGGCAGGCCTTGGCAATAGCTTGAATACGGGAGGTAAGAAATAGTGTAAAAGAGTCAAGAACGACCCCTAGATTGAGAGCCTGAGGGACTGGGAGGATGGTGTTGCCCTCTCCAGTAACAGGGAAGGTATGAGTGGAGGGATGGGGATTTAGGAGGAAAGAAAATAAGTTCCATTTTATTGAGCTTATGATGTCTACTAGACGTTCAGTTCAAGATGTCAGGAAGGCAGTTGGAAATTCCAGATCGTAGGTCAGCAAAGAGATTGGGGCAGGGGAGGTGGATTTGAGAATCATGAGCATAGAAATGGAAATTAAACTCATGGAAGCTGATGAGACCACCAAACAAAATAGTATGGAGGAAGAAGAGAAGAAGATCCAGGCAGAACCATGAAGGATATCTCTGGTTACAGGGTGTGATGTGGAGGTATAGCATGATAGTAAGCAGGGATCAAGTGAGGGTTTTTTCAGGGTAGGGGAGACATGGGCATGCTTGTAGGCAGTAGGAAAGGAGCCAGGAGAAAGGGAAATACTGAAAATAAGTGAAAGAGTGGTGGTGACAGAGGGGGCAATCAGGTGGAGGAAATGGGATGGAATGGCACTGCTTGAACGAGGAAAGGGATTAGTCTTGGTAAGGAGTAAGGCCATTTTATTATGTGAGATGGGATGAAGGAGTAGAGAATAGCAGAAGACACCTGAGTGATAGGAGATGAGGAACAGGGGAGAAGAGGAAAGTTCACAGCAAATTTTACAGATTATTTTTCCTGCAAAGTATAATGCAAAGTTCTCAGCTGAGAGAGTGGGGGAAGAGAGTACCACAGGAGGTATGAGGAGAGATGAAAAGGTTTGGAAGGGCCATTGTGGAGAGTGGTTGATATGGAAGTTAATATGGGAAATACGGTATGATCGCCTGGCAGTAGTGAGGGCCCAGTTGAGGCTACTCAACATAAATTTATAGTGGACCTTGGGGTCAGTTAGAAGTCACAGTATACATGAAAAATAGGGTTATGTAGGAAGGCAGAGTTTCAGTTGAAAAGCCAATAGACTACGGTTGGACAAGAGGATTTCAGAATTCTTGAATATAGAGGGGGTACATTTGTGGGTGATGGTAAGATCAAGGGCATGACCATCTTTGTGTATAACTGAGGTGGAGTAGATGAGTAGTAGCTTATGGAAAGTGAGTAAGTTGGGGATCTGAATGGTTAGGGTAGTTGAAAAAGAATCAATATGTATTTTGAAGCCCCCTAGGATGGGGACAAGAGTTGGGTAGGAAAGAAAAATTGTAAGCCAGGTATCAAACTCATTGAAGAAGGCAAGGGAGTGAACTGGGAGTCTGTTAGACAACAACTATCAGGATTTTGATTAGGTGGTAGCTATGAATAGCATGAACCTCAAAGGAAGAGAAGTTAATAACTGACAGAGGAAGGAAGAACCTGGAAGTGACAATGGGAAACAAGAAGTATTCTGGCTCTCCTACTTTCAACCAGTGAACCAAGGAGAATGAGTAAAGGTGCAGCCAGTACCTGGAAAGGGTGGCAAGGGATGTTGTGTCATCAGAGAGAAGATGTGTGCCTAGGGGCTCCTCAGAGATCACAAAACAGAAAATGAGGGCCACTAACAATAATAGCTAAAGTCCATATAGCACCTACTGTGTGTTAGGAGCTTTGTAAATATATCATTTGATCCTCACAACAACCCTGTGAATTAGGCACCATTATTATCCCCATTTTACAATGAAGCAAACAGACAAACAGAAGTTAAGAGGCAGACAGAGGTTAAATGACTTGCCCAGCATCACACAACTAGTAAATATCTGAGGTTGAATTTGAACTCAGGTCTTCTTGACTGCAGGCCCAGTATGCCATCCACCACACCACCTAGCTCCCTAAGAGCTACAGCAGAAGGGAATGAATAAACCTTCTTCCTAGCCAGGTAAGAATTTAAAGGGCCAGGGCTCAAAAGTGTTGGGTGGTAATAAGCAACATACAATGTGACCTGGAAGAAGCCAGTTTTCTCATCTGTCAAAAAGTGGTGTTTGGGCTAGGTGTTCACTAGGATCCCATGTCCCTCTGATATTTTTCACTCTTTGCAGCCCCAAATGATGAGCCTCTTTGTACTGATGGCAAATAGAACTAGCATGCTCCATTCCTTTGGCAGTTCCTACTATCCTTCTTTCACTCGTTTTGACATCCCCCTCCTCCTAAGGTCATTGATCCACATTGATCCATTGATCATCCTAAGGCCATTGATCATTGATCCGAAGGTCATAGGAGCCACTGACAGAGACCAGTCTGTCACCATGCCATGCCATGCCATGCCTACCTCATAGGCCCGGGACCCGGTGATATCGCTGAGATTCTGGGCTCCTTTAACGGCTTTCTCCAAGTTGCGGCATTCCACTGTGGTGCTGGAGTCCATCCAGATGGGACAGTCAGAGAGTGAGAAAGAGGACTGAAGGAAAAGAAACCACAAATGAAATGATTGAAGCAACTAGATCAAATGTACAAGTCTTCTGAAAGAAACTATCTCAGTAAGGGTATCTGTCAACAATTAGATAAAAGGCCTGGGCCATTTCATAGGTTCGAGTTCAGGACATACAATACCTCTCTAACTTCTTTAGATGACAGGCACTCAAAAAATAGTAATGTTGCTAGAGGAGAAAACTGGAAGGGGGTCAAAAGACCCTCGGTCTAGCCCCACCTTTGACACTTGCTCATCGAGTAACCCTTAGGCAAGACATTCTCCCTTCCTGAGCCTGAGCTTCCTTCCTGGAATAATGGAGATTCCATAGGATGTTCTCTAGGATTCCTTTGAGCTCTACTGGTCTATGGTTCTACTACTCTATAAATGTTCTTTTCTTCTTGGCTTCTTGGCTCCTACCTCTCTCTCTGACTGCCCTTTGTCTTCAATGTCTCCTCCCTACTCTCCCATGGTCTAGCGACATTTCACAAGTTCAATGACCAGCCCTCTTCTTTTCCGTCTTTAGCTCTGTGTAAATGACTCCTACATCAACCCTCCCAAAACAAGAAACAACAACAAGTAAGTGGACCCCCCAAAAAACAAATAGAAACATGATCACAAACCCTTGACTGAGCAATTTGGCTGTATTTGAGTGTTTTAAGTGGCAAAACCAGAGCTAGAACCTAAAGTCTTTTGACTTCTCACCAAAGGCTTTTCCTACTACACCATAATACATGAATTTAAAAAAGCCAATGGTCAATCATCTCTGATGTTGCAAGGAGACTGAAGAAGGCTTTAAAAATTCAGGGCCCCCTACTAGGCCAAGATTAGAAGAAATTCACTGTTCCAATCAAGAGTAGAACAAATGCTGACACCAATGATAAACATATAATGTTGTTGAACTTTTGTACCTTTACCTCCTCCTGGAACTGAACCATATACTCAACTGTGTCCACAATATAACAATATAACACTGTGTCCACAAAGCAGAGAACGCTCCAAGTCTACATAGTCCACATTTACTATGAGAAAGGGAAGCTACATAGTTTATAGTCATTTCTATATCATCTCTATAAATAAGCCCAATAACAATTACCTTGAGTTACAGGGGAAATAAGATCTCTCAAGTTCCTTGTAATTGCATTATAGGGCCAGCTAACTGCCAGACCAATAAACTCATTTAAAAGCTGCTATAAAATGGGATCCACATATGCAGCAACGCCTAAAATGGCATTTTTGCAGCATTCACCACGCTCTTTTCCTATTATCAGTGGATAAAAGCCATTGGTTGTTATATCTTTCGCCCTGGCCCATAAAATGAACCAGAGCAAAGAGCAGAAAGAAGGGAGGGAACCTGGCTGATGAGGTATTTACCTTTAATTGCTGGTGTAAAGGAAGATCAGGAGATAAATTCCTCAAAGTTTGGCAGGCCCCTCTTTTCCAGTATACACTGCCATGTTGCTATAAAAGAGATAAGCAAACAGAAATCTCTTTACTCAAGTGATTTATCAAAAGTGTATCAATCTCCAGAAACATTTGTTTTTTCTAAAAATAATTAAGTTTAGGAAAAAAATTCTCCCAGTAAGGTTTCTTGGGTGTTTCAGAATAGTAGCAATGTGTTCTCAAAGGCTTTGCAGCAGGACATGAACTCAGATCTTTCAAAGCTAGAAAGGCTTTGAGTACAGGCCTGGTGATGGAATACATGAGATCAGCTTAGCTAAGGGAGAAAGGCCTAAACTCAAAAGAGTGTCCATCACAACAAATTTTTTTCCAACACTATAGATCATGAAAACCATCTGCTAAACTGAAAAAAAAAAGGTGTAATCTACATCAGGGAGAAGCCTAGCATAGTATAAAGAGCACTGCTCAAGAGTAAAAAGACTAGATTTGAATTCCATTCCTGATGCTTACTATCTATGTGACCTTGGGCAAGTCATTTAACTTCTCTTAGTGACAGCTGTCTCATCGGTAAAATGAGGGGCTTAAGCCAGAATTATGCCCCCAAAGTCACTAAACTCTTCATGTCCTTTGACCCAGCAATGCCACTACTAGACACATGCCTCAAAGAGATTTCTTTAAGAGGGAAAAGACCCATATTTGTATATAGATATTTATAGTAGTACTTTTTGTTAATGGAAACAGAATACCCATCAACTAGGGAGTAGCCTTACCAATTTTGGTATGTGAACATAATGGCATTTTAGGGGCAACTAGGTGGCTCAGTGGATAGAGCTCTGGGTCTGGAGTCAGGAAGACCTGGGATCAAGCTCAGACACTTACTACAGGAGTTACCCTGGGCAAATCACTTAAATGTTATCTGCCTCAGTTTCCTCATCTGTAAAAGGGAGGTAATAATAGCACCTACTTCCCATGGTTATTGTGAGGATAAAATGATATCATATTTGTAAAAAAGGTTATACAAATGTTAGCTATTATTTTGCCATGAGAAATGAATAAAGAGATGGATTCAGAGAAATCCAGTAGAACTTGCATGAACAGATGCAAAGTGTGTAGAACAATTTATACAACAGTAACAATTTATACAACAAAACAACACTGCAAAGGAAAAAAACTGTCTCTGGTCAATGAAATGACTGTTCATCGCTCGAAAAGACCCATCATGAAGTATATTTCTTGACCTCCTAGAGATATAGAAAAAGACATACATTTTCAAACATGGCCAATATGTGGATTTGTTTTGTTTGACTATACCTATTTGTTATAAGAGAGGGCTTTTATTTGGGAGGAAGTGAGAGTTATGCAAGTGGGTAGTAATAGAGATGTTAAAAGAAAAAAATGAAAAAAGAACGTCAATGAATTATTTTTAAAAATACACAGAAGAGAGCAGAAGAAATTCAGAAGGGGACACAGACAAGCAAAACTATTGGAACCATCATGTTAAATTTCAAATATACTTTTAAAAAAACAAGCAATACATGGTGGAGATGCAATTTTTTGTTCTTTATAATGAGGAAATGTTTGTGTTTGTTGGTATTTGTCGAGTTCATAATAATAAATAAGTGAATTTAAAACAAAAAGCAAGGCCTCTAGATGACCTCTGAGGTTACTTTCCTGCTCTAGAATTATGATCTTGTAAATCAGTGAAATCATGGGTCTTCACACACACACACACACACACACACACACACACACACACACACACACTTATTCAGAACCTTTATCTCACCATGTAACCTACAGGTGTACAGCTTTTACCCATTAGCTAAAATTGCCCACCTGCCTGTTAAACACTAAACCAAAGGAGCCTAACTTTTTTTCTTTTATTATCAATTCAGTCCCGGCAAGAAATCTGAAGTGGTTGATTAGATTGGGTTTGGTTTTTTGTACATGGAATGGCCATCAAATGGAACGGCCATCAAATGGAACAAGCTGAGGAGTAAGACCTAGTGAGGGGAGGTTTGGTACAGCCTTAAATGAAGACCTTCCCCTAATTGCAGACAAAGTAATTTGGAGGAAATAAATAGTTTCTTGAGGTCAAGCCTTGAAAACCCAAGATTTACCCTCCCCCCCAATTTATCCTTCCTAGTTCATAGGATCATAGGATTTAGAGTTGGAAGGGACTTTGGAGATCACCTACTTCAGCTCCCTCATTTTATAAATGAGAAAATGAAGGCTCTGAAAAGTTAGGTATCTTGACTATAGTCACACAGTAGTTGAGGGCAATGCCATGTAGGTTGATTCTCATCTAATCTCATTCTCCCCTATCCCATTCTCTCTATGCCTCTGGCTCTTTAAGTGAAATAGTCTAGGAAATAACCATAAATTCCCCACTTATAAAGACCTAGACCTATGCTGTGCCTATCTTAGACCAGAGGGGTATTAATCCCATTTATTACCACAACTTTATGATGTTATTTAGGGGATACATAACATGGAGAATAACACATATACCACTAGCCAAAGAGTTACTGGTATGGAATTTAATTACTTGACTTTTCTTCCTTTTATCTACAAATCTAGCTCTTCAGTTTTTTTTTGGTCCCCCTTGTGTCAGATGGCTTACAGCACCTACCTCAGTTTGCCCATCACGGAACATCTGTACTCCTGGCACTTGCTAGAGAATGCAGTCATGAATTGACAGTGATCCAGCTTCTGGCAAAGCGATGCTTAAGACATCTAATACTGTTCTTGCATGAGTCAGACTAATGGACATGTTAACACTCCATTTGGCTGTCTTCACCAAGCTCTGTCCCAATATGGTTAGAAAAATTAATGAAAGGAGTTGTCTTTTATGAACTTTGCTATTATCTTATCTTTTCCTCAGTTGGAGGAAAAAGCTGATGTGAGATGGTCAATGATTAGGGAGGAAAAGGAGTGTGGAATGTCCAAAATTTCAGTCAGCAACTAAGAGGTCTCCTGGTTGACTCAGAGTATGCCTAGGATTTTAGAACAGACAAATGTGATTGAGCCGGGGTATCAGGGTACCATCATGGGCAAATCCCAAACTAGTAAAAATATTTAGATATTAATATAGAATGTTATTATATTCACATAGAATATTATAATATTATAATTACTATAATACTATATATTAATATTTATATAGTCATTCAGAAGACTAGGAAAAGGGAGCAGAGTATGGTTGTGAACTCTATGCCTAAATAGAATTGTGAGGGCCCATTTAGGCCCAGAAAATTTTAAATAATTTGGTGAGAAAGCTTAGGTACCACTTAGACTGGCATAGTATTATTTTTGCTTTACATCTATTTCTCTACACTTATTTACTCAGGTATTTATTTTTTATTTTGTATAAATATTTTTCTCCTGAAAATGAACTCTTGTCGACTAGCACGTATGGCAGGAAGAGTAAAATCAAAAGGAAAGAGGGAGTTGGATGTCAGCTTCATTAGTCAGCCACTGCCAATAGCAGAATTAAAAGAACTATAACAGAGAAGAAGACCACTGAACCCAGGGAGACAAGCAGGCTGAAGGATCAAGGTCAAGAGAGGGTGTGGTTGGGACTCAGTGATCAACACAGTTAAGAAATTAGCAAAGGAGATGAGATCATACAAATGGGAAAATGATCCACATGTACAAAAATATTCATAGCAGCTCTTTTTGTGGTGGCGAAGAATTGGAAATTGAGAGGATGCCCATCAATTGGGGAATGGCTGAGCAAGTTGTGGTATATGAACGGAATGGAATACTATTTTGCTATAAGAAATGATGAACAGGCTGACTTCAGCAAACCTGGAAAGACTTGTATGGTCTGATGCTGAGTGAAGTGAGCAGAACCAGGAGAAGGTTGTACACAGTAACAGCCACATTGTGCGATGACTAATATTGATAAACTTAACCCTTCCCAGCAATACAAGGATCTAAGACATCTCCAGAGGCCTCATGATGGAAAATACTATCCACATCCAAAGAAAGAACTATGGAAGTTGAATTGCTATTTTTTTCTCTTCTGTTGTTTTGTTTCCTCTTTCTGGTGGTTCCTCCTATTGGTTTTAATTTTTACTTACAACATCACTAATGTCAAAATATATTTAATAGGAATGTAAATGTATAGCCTATATCAGATTGTGCACTGTCTTGGGGAGGGTCGTGGGGAGGAAGGGGGAGAAAAATTTTAAACTCAAAAGCATATGGAAGTGATTATTGATAAATCGAAACAAATTAATAAAAAAAAAAGAAAAAGAAAAAAGAAAAAAAGAAATTAGCAAAGGAGAAGGGTCTGGAATCAAGGGAAAAGTCCCTGGGCCCAGTTCCAAGAATGGTGTGAGGTCCTGGAAAGCTGACACAATTTTAGAAACGTTTAAGGCACAGGGTTAGATCCTTTACAAGGTGTCAGGTACCTGACCTATGATATCTCATTCTCCCAGAGAAATACCTCTACTGAAATGCCATCACTGAGTGATGATACATGTTCTGCATTCAGCTCTTATAGAAGGTTAGTACAATAGGGTGTCATCACCCATTAAACAAATATTTATTTGTACCTATTATGTGAAAGGTAAGAATCAACATGGAGTAATGGATAGAGAGCCAACCTTAGAGTCAAGAAGACCTGGGTTCAATGACTTGGTGAAGACCCTGAGCAAGTCCTAGCCTCTTAGTGCCCTCACGAAATACTCTAGAATTGTAAACAGAAAAGCAGGGGACAACCTATATTGGGAGAAGAAATCTTCTCAGTAGGAGGTCCCTATACCAATGACAAATCAATTTCCCCATAAACATGAAAGACATTATATTAAGTGCTCAGAATACAAAGATTGGAAGGCAGTGATTCTTGCCCATTGGAAGTCTTTCAGAAGAGGCTAGATGGCCCCTTATAGAGAAGGTTGTATATAGAAGGGATTCCTTTTCAGTTGTACAATGGATTAGATGGATGCTGAGGTCTCTTCCAACTTTTAAAATTATGTGATTTTATGAAAATGAAAAATGGCGCAATCCCTTCCCTCAATGACCTTATAGCCTGTAATACTTACTTTGCACAAGTAAGTATCATAAAAGTTAGAATGTAATAGGGGCACAAGAGGAATTTGGATAAAGATCAAGAAGAAAGAATGAAGAAGGAAAAAGATCATTTTCACCTTGTGGGAAAATGAAAGACTTCATGGAGGAGATAGTACCTGAGCTGTTTCTTGAAAGAGAAGGATTTTGACCCACAAAGGTCTGAAGGTGTGTGATCCAGAGATGGAAATGAAACATATAAATACACAGAAGCTGGGGAGCACAAACCCAGATCCAGGAATAATCAATACTCCAGCTTGGTTGGAACATGGAGTCTGTGAATAGAAGTAATATGAAACATGACTATAGACAAGAAGATTGGAGCCAGCATATGGGTGGCCTTTGCTGAAAAGCTAAGGAGTTTGTGTGTTATCTGATAGGCATTTGGAAGCCATGGAAGGCTTTTGAGCAGAGGAGTGGCATGCCTACTAGCGCATTAGGAAGATTATTTTGGCAGTGTCATAGAAGATGAACTAAATAAGATAAGAGACTAAAGGGGAAAAAAACATTGGGAATCTGTAATAATAACTCAGGTGAGATGTGATTAGGATATGAACTGGGGTGATGGTAGTATGAATGAAAAGGCAAGGACAGATTCGAATATGTGAAATCAGTAAGTCCTGGCAAATGACTGGATGTAGACTGTAAGTGAGAGGGAAAAGAAAAACAAAGAATCTCAACCTGGGTAAATGGGACTTCAGTGGTGCCACTGACAGAAATGGTGAACACGGAGTGAGGGCCAGGCAGGAAGCGATGAATTCATTTATGGATGCAGTGAGTTCGAGATGCCCTTAGAATATGCAGGTGATGATTTCAGCCAGGTAGGTGGAGATGCAGAAAGGGCAGTCAGAGCAGAGTTTATGGTTAGCTTTATAGATTATTGACAGTAAATATAGAAACGTATGATAAATTCCAACCAAGCACCACAGATATCTCTGAGGTTACATCCACCTTTGGGTTTAGAAGCAAACTAATTATACAAATGATAAGAAGCAAGCTCAAGCCCCCATTCTGCTGAGCAGTGTCTACTCGCAGACTATGGAGGAACCACAACTCTAATAGGAAAGTACTAAATTAAAAGACAATAGAAAAGAACTTGAAAAGGAGAGTAAACAAGCCAGAGTCATCCTCAGTTTTCCACCCTTCTCTTCCCTCTCAAGTATAAAATTGGTGCAAGGGAACAACTAGAGAAACAAATGGAGGAAATAGAAAACAATCTCTCCAGTATACCAGCAGATGGGATTAGGCAAAAAATCCCACCCCCATCCCTGCACCTCCCTTTCACTTGGTTTTGGCAGCCTATTGACACCTGGACACCTCTCCAGTATAGTCATTGACCCTGCTTCATCCAAAGCTACAAGATTTTTTCCTGGGACTCATAGGTACAGAGATGCCATGCCAGATGCACTCTCACAGCCCCACTTCTTTCTTTTCAACATAGCCAAAGGCTATCTTCCAAGTCATGGAAAGAGGCAGTCTTTGTCTCTCCCTTAACGTCTTCAATTTATCTTTTACCAATCTGTATATCCAGGCACGAGTCTCACTGGATTCTGACATCTTGGGGTCTTTGTCCAATGAATAGTAGCCTCCCTTAACCCACCCATTACGGGCAAATGAGGTCAGACAGGGTAGCTCCCTTGCTTCAGTCATTATGGGCAAGCCCCTATTAAGAAATGAAGAATGAATGTCAACATAAGGGGAAGCCATTTGAACAGAGTTTCCATATCTTTTGCAAAAAATCTTTTGCTAAAGATCTGAAGTAAATTTCTGCCTGCAAATTCAGGACAAAAAAAAAACACCTCTGCAAATGAATATATGTGCTTCTTTTCTACTGTTAAACAATGAAAACCATGTAGCCTGAGTCTTTTTTTTTTGCCCTCATTACCTGAAAACCTAAAGCCTAATTCAGTGCTCAAATGTAATCATTAGCCTATCTCAGATATAAGCTAGCAACTGCTCCCTTGGCTTCCTTTAGTGATTCTCTGCTCCATTTTTATCCTTGATTGTCCTATTTTGTAGTGTGTTATTAACAACAACGATAATAAAAGCTGCCATGTATGTAGTGTCTTAAGGTTTGCAAAGGGCTTTACAAATATTATATCATTTGATTATCACAGTGATACTATGAATGGAAAAAAGGAGGAAGAGAAAGAGGAAGGAATGGAGGGAGGGAGGAGGGAGAGAGGAAGGAAGGAAGAAAAGAAGGAATGGAGGGAAGGAAGGAAGAAAAGAAGGAAGGAAGGAAGGAAGGAAGGAAGGAAGGAAGGAAGGAAGAAGGAAGGAAGGAAGGAAGGAAGGAAGGAAGGAAGGAAGGAAGGAAGGAGGGAGGGAGGGAAGGAAGGAAGGAAGGAAAGGAGGAAGGGAGGGAAGGAAGGAAGGAAGGAAAGGAGGGCATGGAGGAAGGGACATAGGGAGAGAAGAGAGGGAAGGAGAGAGGGAGGGAAAGGAGAGAAGGAAGGGAGAGAGGGAAGGGAAGGAAGAGTAAGCAAGCATTTTAAAGTACTTGCTATTTATCAAACTGTAGTAAGTCATAAATTCAAAAGCTCATATCCTGAGAGAAGACAACATATTTAAGGGCATAGTGACCAGGGAAGAATGTTTTGGTCTGGGAAATCACAAGAATGATGAGTGCAACAATCAGGCATGCCCTTTCCCAAGGCAATAGAAGTGTTGACATAATTAGAATTCTCAGAGAAAGAGATGGAAGAGGGGCTATGTGGAGTTGTGTGTGTGTGTGTGTGTGGTGTGTGTGTGTGTGTGTGAGAAGATTTTCAGGCACAGTGATACACATGATTCCATGACTTAATTTGTCTCAGGCATGGTTTCTGGAGGTTGCTTGGAATGGGGCACAGCAGCAGGACACCAACTCTTTAAACAGATGCTATTATTACCCCATTTTACAGATGAAGAAAGTGACCCCTCAGAGTAATTAAGTGGCATGCCCTCAAGTTACACAGCTCTTAACTGTCTGGGGCAGGATTCTAACTCAGGTCTTCCCGATACCAAGTCCAAAGCTCTATCCACTACACCATACTCTTTTTAATTTGGCTTTCCACCTTTAATGTTTTGGGAAGAAAGTGCAGATCTACCCCTACTATGTAATAACCAATAATATGATCATCAATAGCTAAATAGATTCAGAAATGATATTTCATAATAGTAACAAGACAGCTTCATTTTGCTATAGAAAACATTTTCTGTGAGAACAAGCTATAAAGACCTGGAATTGTTTCTACATACAATTTCCCAGTAATAATGCCATAGGAGCCATTTGCCTCTTACCAACAGAGATGAGTTCCCTTTTCTAAGCAGGGTAATTATGTGGTTTGTAAAACTCTACCGCAGTGCTACAGTACATGATTAAGTTATTTATGGTTTTGCTTTTATAAACCGACCTGGCCAGCCCCAGACAAAGCTCTGACTCGAGAAAAGTTGAAACCAGAAGACTTCATCTTCTCCAAGATTATATCCAAGGCCTAAGGAGAAAAACAGAATCAAGAGTGATTGTAATGAACTACAGAATTAGGCAAATGCACAATCCTCAAAATTAAATTTTAAGTGCCTGCCATTATGGATGAGGGCTCTGTAGCAGATAATGAAGAATTATCTAATGACTAGGGATTTCTTAAGCAGTGGAATAAATTAATTAAGTAAATAGGAACCAATCAAAAGAAAAAAGTTCAACTACCCCCAAAAAACTCTTTAAACGAGTTGAATTACAAATCACTAATCTTAAAATCCTCTTTTCCTCTCTTTCTGTCTTCAAGGAACTCCGTAGTACCAACTGCAGAGCGACCCAAATTTTGATAGGAAAATATTTGGTTTTCTTGCTTCTCGAATAGTCAATAACCTGACTTTATGGGGAAATAGGAGCAAAATTTCAGGTTCTCAGTGATCAGAATCATTGGTTCATAGGGCTTAGAGTAGAAGGAACCTTAAAAATCATTTAATCCTGTCTCCTCATTTTATGGGTCATAGGAGCATAGGTTCAGGGCCAGGATGGACCTTTGATAAGAGTTCATCTACAGATGAGGAAATGAGGGAAGCCCAGATATGTGAAGGGATTTGCTCAAGAGCATAGAGATGAAGTTGTAAGTGGGACTCCAAGCCAGGCCTTCAGACTCCTGATTGAATACTCTTTTCACTAAACCACGATGCCTCTCTTACCTCTATTTTAAAATAGACACAATCCTAGTGTTCAGGTCTTCATTGCTGTGTACCAAGCCAAATAATGACAAAAATAAAACCTTCAGGCTTGTGAGATACGATTCATTAGGATCCCTACTCTATTCCTATCAGTATTAATCAGTTTGATATTTTATATAAATCACATAGGGATAATTAGATAAGTTCTTGTAGTAGGCCTCAAACTTTAATGTAATGTTTACTCCTTGTTAACCAGTTACGAAGCTCACTTGCACAACCACAAGAATGCTGACAAAGATTATCTCCACCCTATTTTACTCAAATTCCATGTCCAAAGCCAGCATGGGTGGGATACCTTGATTCTTCGGAAAGTCTCCCAACTTATTTTTGCACCTCTGAACCACCCTCTCTCACCGAACATGAGCAAGTGACCATCTTATGACCACTTGGGCACTGAAGATGACTTGGTCATATTAATTTTGGGCCCTCAAGAACAAGTTCTATCAACCAATGAGATTCTATATTTCGCCAGACCTCTTTTGCATCGTTGGGTATCAAACCCTATAAAAACAAGGCCCTAGGGCCAGAGACATCTCAGACCGTGAGGAAGCTCTGAGGTCCACTTCATTAGAGGGGACCATGGACGCTTTAATAAACTACCATTGGCTCAGAGTCTGTCTCAGTTTCTTTGATTGTAGGTTGGAAAATTTTAAACTCCACAGGCTGAAGAGAGAGTCAAGAGAGAGCACCCAGGATAGCAAAGGGCCCAAGTCAACGCCGCATGCAGATCAATCCAAAGAATTGGGGATGTTTTGCTTTGGTTCCTACCTTGACCCACATTAAAACAGGAGAAGTCACTGTGAGCTTGTCACTATGAACATGCGCTCCACCCTGGGTCCTGGAGGGAAAGGTCAGAGTTTACTAGGGGGAACAAGAGGACAACGATTCCTTATAAAGAGAGAGGAGTTTGAGCTTATTAGCTCATTTCTCTGCTTCTAAAACAATTCACTTGAACTGGACTTTCCTTTCCGGTTCTTTAGCATCAGCAGGGAAAGAACCAAAGCCATATCTGCTGTTTGTTGTTGTTAAGTCACTTTTCAGTCATGTCCAACTCTCCATGACCCCATTTGGGGTTTTCTGGGCAAACACACTGGAGTGGTTTGTCATTTCCTTCTCTGGCTCATTTTAAGGAAACTGAGGCAAACAGACTTGCCTAGGGCCGCACAGCTATCGGAGGCCAGATACGAATTCAGGAAGATGCACTCTATGCACTTTGCTACCTAGCTGCCCCGCCCCAAAGCTGTATCTGCACAATTAGTTCTCTGGATAATGTAGACACCCCCCCCTTCAAAAAAATCTGCTTTCATAAGAAAAATGGTCTATTTAGCTTAGATTATCTAAGTAGCCTATCTATCTGTCTCAAAATTCACCAGATAATTGCTTGGTACCAGGTTTTATTTCAGCTTCTTAGAAATGGCATGAAAGGAATCAGGGAAGTGAAAGGAGGAAAGGAGCAAAAAGAAAGTAGATATAAAAAAGTGGGGGGGGATGCGATAGTATAAAGGAATAACAATAAGAGATAGTGAGGCTGCGCAGTTGATTGAGTGTTGGACTTGGGGTCAGAAAGACCTGAATTCGAATCCTGCCTCAAACATTAGATATGTAATCCTTGGCAAATCACTTAATTTCTCTGTCTCAATTTTCTCATTTGAGAGGATGATTAGAACACTTGCCTCACAGAACTGTCATGAGATAACATATGTAAAATACTTTGTAATCCTGAAACTGCTATATATGCTATTAGCATATATGTGTGTGTGCATTTGCGTGTGTGTGTGCATGTGTGTGTGTGTGTGTGTGTGTGTGTGTGTGAGAGAGAGAGAGAGAGAGAGAGAGAGAGAGAGAGGGAGAGAGAGAGAGAGGGAGATAGAGAGAGAGAGAGAGAGAGAGAGAGAGAGAGAGAGAGAGAGAGAGAGAGATGCTGGCTCTTATATATAGATGGGGCAGCTAGGTGACCCAATGGATACAGTGCCCAGGCCTGGAGTCAGGAAAACCTGAGTTCAAATTTGACCTCAGACACACACTATCTGTGTGACCCTGGACCAGTCACTTAACCCTACTTGCCAAATCCAGTCCCTAGATTGTTTTTGTATGGTTTGAAAGACAAGAATGGTTTTTACATTGTTAAACACAATAAAATTTTATTTTAAAATGCAAAAACCATTCTTAAGAATATCTTTTCCTACATTTTTCTTGCTTCCCTTCACCCCAGAGCATGTTTAATGCAAAACCATGTTTTGTATGACTTCACAAGTATAATGGGTATTATAGTGCTCTTTTCCCAATGGGTGGAGGAGGGGATGGAAGAAGGGAAAGAATTTGGAATTGAAAATTAATTTTTTTTTAAATTTTAATAAAAAAAAATTCTTAGCTCATTGGCCTTGCAGAAACAGACAGTGGGCCAAATTTGACCTGTAGGCTATGGTTGGCTGACCCCTACCCAGGACCAAGCAGAACAAATCAAATCTCTCTTTCCCACAAGCCTTTAAATAATAAAATATAGCTATGATGGATCATCTAAGTCTCACCAGCTCTAAACATGCCCAGTTCCATCAACCATTAGCAAATGTTGAATTTTTCCCCCAGCTCAGAGCTTAGTTCAGTTATCTCCACTTCAGGCTTTCCATCCCAAAGGGATCTCTCCCCTCCCATCCCTTACAACAATCTGTATTTCCCTTCCACCATACTGAATTCTAAGTTGTGTTCCACACATGTTGTATTTCTTTCTGTCCCTTACTTATCTCAATTATTAGTTTCTTGAGAGCAGGAACCTTGTATTCTTCCCTGTCATGCTTCAATTTGTATTATAATTATTTCTAAAATTGTCTCTCTGTGACATTGTAAATCCTTAAAGAGATACCATCTCACTTATCTTCATCTCCTGTTTCGTGCAAAGTAAAGGACTTTGCACATAGTAGGCACTCAGTAAATGTCTGTTGAATTGATCAAAACTGAACTTTGAAGACTGGTCAGATGTCTTAGAGGAAACTGTGGTAAATACATGGCATGGTCTAAATCAACAATTAGATGGTCATAATTTATATCTGGGCACTCACCCAATAGTCTTGAAGGAATTCATCAATGAAATTGAAACTATTGGCCAACTCTGCATGTTGTAACTTGTCACTAATAATCAAATCTGTTGTAACTTGTCATCACTAACAATTGCCAGTGTACCAAAGCATTGTAAAATCACAAATTTAGAGCTGTAAGTGTCCTCAGAGGGCATCCGGCTCAACCCCGTCATTTTTTTTTAATTAGTAAAAGTTTTTTTAATGTAAATTGTATTTTATTTTTCCAATTATATGTAAAGATAGTTTTCAACGGTCATTTCTATAAGATTTTGAGTTCCTAATATTCTCTCTCCTCTCCTCCCTCCCAAGATAGCAAGCAATCTGATATAGGTTATACATGTACAATCATGTTAGACATATTTCCACATTAGTCATGTTATGAAAGAAGAAACAGAAAAAAAGAAGAAACCACAAAAAGAAAACAAAGAAAGTGAAAATAGCATGCTTTGACCTGCATTCAGACTCCATCAGTTCTTTCTCTGTATGTGGATAGCATTTTCCATGATGAATCTTTTGGGATTGTCTTAGATCATTGTACTGCTGAGAAGAGCTAAGTCTATCATAGTTTATCATCACACAATGTTGCCATTACTGTGTACAGTGTTCTCCTGGTTCTGCTCACTTCACTCAGCATCAGGCCATACAAGTCTTTCCAGGCTTTTCTGAAATCCACTTGCTCATCATTTCTTATAGCACAATATTATTCCATTACATTCATATGCCACAACTTGTTCAGCCATTCCCCAGCTGATGGCCATCCCCTCAATTTCTAATTCTTTGCCACCACAGAAAGAGCTGCTATAAACATTTTTTACATGTACAACCCCCTCATTTTAAAGATAAAGAAAATGATGGCAAGAGAACGGCTAGCAAACAATCATGAAGATTTTATATGGCAGGATAGGATTTGAACCCAGGTTCTCTGACTCCAAGGCAAATGTTTTTTCTGCTATATCATGCTAACCATTGGATTGGTAAACTGGCTCTCCTGTATACCACTGACAAGTGGTTAAAATCTATAGTTAGAGATAGGATCGATGGAAATATAACCAAATAGACCCCCTTCCCTGGACTTTTCCAGCTGAGCTGTTTTCACTCAGGCTCTCACTTCTGTCCACCCTCCTCCCAGTGTAAAATTGGGTTCTGCCCTTGGAAAGTCCTCTTTGGGTGAACTTTGACCTTATGCTTGCTCAATTCCGGGCCTCCATATCATTCCTCAGATATGCCCACATATATCTTCCACCCCATTCCACCCCCAGTTCCACTTTATGATATCTTTACCCATTATCTTAGTTCCTCAGGGGAAGGAACCATTTATCATGCTTTTATTTGTATGCCTAGCTCTTAATACAGTGCCTAACACATAGTAAGTGCTTAATAAATGTTCTGTCTTTGGAAAGAAGAATAAAATTAATGTTTAAGGGAAATCTATTAGAATTCTTGAAAGGAGAACAAGTTGTGTTAGGTGAGTATAAATTACCTAGACTTGCGAAATGTACTTGGAAAATTATACCAAAAAGGAGGTTTTAAAAACAAAGGTTCCATAGGCATGCGAGGAAAATAGGGGGTTTCTTAATAGTATTTTTTCCAATTACATGTTGAGACCATTTTTAGCATTTATTTTTACAAGATTTTGAGTTCCAAATTTTTCTCTCTCCCTCCCCTTCCCTCTTCTAAAAGTGGTGGGCAATTTGACATGGGTTACACATGTGCTATCACATAAAACATATTTCCATATTAGTCACAGCATGAAAGAAAAAACAGATCAAAAGGAAAACCACGCAAAAAAAAAGAAGAAAGTAAGTGAAAAAGTATGCTTCAACCTGCATTCAGAGTCCATTAATTCTTTCTAAGGATAGGGATGGCATTTTCCTTTATGAGTCCTTTGTATTTGTCTTGAGGAGAGCTGAGTCATTCATAGTTAATCATCACACAATGCTGCTGATATCGTGCACAATGTTTTCCTGGTTCTGCTCATTTCACTTTGCATCAGTTCATACAAGTCTTTGCAGGTTTTTCTGAAATCTGCCTCTTCATCATTTCTGATCACACAATAGTCTTCCATTACATTCATATATCACAGCTTGTTCAGCCATTCCCCAATTGATGGGTATCCCCTTAATTTCCAATATTTTGCTACCACAAAAAGGGCTGCTATAAATAGTTTTGCACATGTAGGTCCTTTTCCCTTTTTTATGGTCTCTTTGGGATACAGACCTAGTAGTAGTATTGCTGGATCAAAGGGTATGCACATTTTGGTTGCCCTTTGGGCATAGCTCCAAATTGTTCTCCAGAATAGTTGGATCAGTTCACAACTCTACCAACAGTGCATTAGTGTCTCAATTTTCCCATATCCTCTCCAACATTTATCATCTTCCTTTTTTTTTTTGTCATATTAGACAATCAGATAGGTGTGAGGTGGTGCCTCAGAGTTGTTTTAATTTATATTTCTCTCATCAAGAGTGATTTAGAGCACTTCTTTATATGTCTATAGACAGCTTTAATTTATTCATCTGAAAACTCCTGTTCATATCCTTTGACCATTTACCAATTGGGGAATGGGTTGTAGTCTTATTAATTTGACTCAATTTTCTACATATTTGAGAAATTAGGCCTTTATTTTTGTGGTGGCAAAGAACTGGAAATTGAAGGGATGCCCATCAATTGGGAAATGGCTGAACAAGTTGTAAATGTAATGGAATATGAATGTAATGGAAAACTATTGTGCTATAAGAAATGATGAGAAAGCAGACTTCAGAAAAAC